TTTTTTTTTTAGATGTCAACCATTTGAACTTGAATTTTTTTATTTTTGAAAAGAAAAGTCAGTTTTATATGTTGTAAAAAAAGGTGTGATGTAGGGCTGTTTGTTTCATAGCCAAGTTGTATGGAAATTATTCTACTTTCCTATGTAATCAAAACATCATAGCAAAATTCCAAACCACTAATTTAGAGATTACTTCCTCATTTGGGAGTCCCTTGAGAGTATCAATTATTAATTAATGCTAATAGTTGAGTGTTAACATTTACAATTTGTCAATAACCACATATTAATAAGGTCCTTTTATCATATAATTTAAATATTTCAACCCCCATCATTTTCATCATTTAAGGCTGCCTCCCATCCTCTTTGGATCAGTTGTTGTGGCCATTTGATTCAAGATGACACAAATTTATAGATGGAAAATAGGAAAATGTCTATATAATATGCTTCTAAAGTCATGGGTTTGGAGAGAGTGGTTATCTATTTAAGACATAAAAAAATCAAGTTGTTTGGTTACTAGTTTTAACGGTTATAAATTTATATCCTATAAAATTTAGGTAGCTTTTGTAGATCAACCGAAAAAACTAATTATTATTATTATTATTTGAATTCAACAAGGGTAAGAAGATCTAAACCTCCAACCTTTAGGGAGATTGGGGTATGCTTTTCCATGATATTGGCGTTGTGGAACAGTCTCGTCGTCCTCCTAATTGGTGGGGAGACATTGTATATGAATTCCGCCTTGAATAGGGTAAACGATCACTAAAGGACTAAAGGTAACTTTGACCAACCAATAAGTCTCCTACTGTTTTCAACTTTGATGCTTGGGTGGCTTGAGGTCTCAAGGAATAACCTTGAGGTCTTGAGTTCGGGTAGAGGACACTGTGCATATCCCAGGTATAGAGACATAAAGGCCAAAGAGCCGCCAACTCTTGGATAATAAAAATAAATAAAAACTTTACTGCTCACGATAAATTTCAATCCCTTTATTTGGCATTCCCCCTTTTTTTAGTACAATTGAAAAATAAAATTAACTAGTAAGTCAAACTATTCGAAGTTTTTATATTGTATAGCGTAACTTCGACCAAAAATGCCAAAGCGAACATAGCGTATTGGTAATCGACATATATCTTCAACCAAGATGATGTGAGTTCGATCTCCTACCCCACATGTCGTACTAAAAGGGGATTAAATTCTTCCTCTCACAYATTGTTAAACTTAAAAAGAAAAAGTCTATTAATTTAGATTGAAAAGTAAGGCAGATTAGTTATAGGAAAACCATTTTTAATAACAGTAATTAAATACGCAAATGTATACTTATGAAAGAAGTAGAAGGGTCAAACAAAAACTGAATAATCGGCCTTTTAATGTCTCTTATGAAATTAAAAACGGCAAAAAAAAAAGAAAAAATCAGTTGGTATAATAAATGTAACTCAATAACTTCCCAAGATTATAATAAAATAATAATCGTCTACGGTTGCAAGTAGATAAAACTTTAGGAAACCGTTATTAWTTAGTGGGCCCAGACATCACTATCCACCATTCATCGCCATCATGGCCCCACGTGGCACCACGTTGTTGTTCCCCTAAATCCTCCACCTTGCTTGTGACATTTATCTAATTCAAATCTTACTTTCCAAAAAAAAATAATAAAAAATAAATTAATTAAAACTTTTAATCTAATATAATAAACAAATTTATTAATCGTTTTCCTAAACCCAAAATAGATATATATATATTTTTTGTTGCCTTAGTAAGTTCGTTTATAATATTTTGGAAGTCTTCGTTTTGTATATTAATCTTTTTCCTACGTSTTAAAGCTTATCACCAAAATGATGACACTACGTGACAATATATTTTATTAGTGAGGACGTTACAAATAGGGAGTGAGGATCTATTCAAATTTATGACGTTTTAGAAGAGATAAAAGTATTTTAATATTAGAGAGTAGGTTCATGCTAACCATTTTATTGGTTAGGTTCAGGGTATTAAAGTTTCGTCAACATGTCGAATTTCTATATGTTTATTGRCGTCAATATGGGAGGTGAATTGTCATTTCCATTGATAAAATATAAACAATATAAACATAATATTATTAATATGGATATAATATAAATATAAATATAAATACTTTGTAGGTTAAAATACTATTTTGATTCCTATGCTTTCAAAAKGTTGGTTTCAACTTTAATTCATTTAAGTTGCTATACTTTTTAAAAARTGACTATTTTAGTTCTTAATTTTATTTTTCTATTGCAATTTATACACGACACTATACACAGTATATTTATTAAAATATAACAATTACTTTATACTAAATAGTTTTCSTTTGGTGTAGAATTTGTGTTAAAATTTTGTAGAGATGGAYTAAAAGGATAATTTTTTAAAAATATAGAAACTAAAATGAACATTTTGAAAATATGGGCTAAAATGAACTAAAGGCCGGAAATATAGGGACAAAAATAACATTTTAACCTAATTTGTAATTTACTAAAAAAGTGTGAAAGACTTATTTATTAATTTAAAAATTTGTAACAGATGTGTTATTTTTATATTTTTTTCAAAAATATATATGACGTGGATATTGTATCAAATCCATAGAATTGAGACATTGACATTGTATTGGCATCGATATTCAAAATATTGATTAGGTTAGAACCTGAAGTATTTCGTGTTTTTATTTGAATGAACTCGATTAACCTATTTATAGGAATTGAAAACATAACCGCTCTTGAAGATTTTAAACTGCGTAAAATTTCTTCAATGGAGAAAATGATCCAAGGAGAGACAAATCAAGTATCCAATTCAAGAATTTATCTACTTTCCCCAAATTTTCATATCATAATTATTTCATTGCTAATGACTATAGAGATTTCGATAGAAAAAAACTTCACACCACACAAAAAGGTAGTCTATGTATAAGCTCACGTTACAAAATTTATATCTTTAGTTTAAATAGAAAACTATGAATATTTTCTTTTCTACATTTGCTGAAATTAATTTCTATAGTAAATTATCAATAAAATTTAACACATCGTGCTTATTTCTCATAGTCAAAATATATTTATTTTATATAAACATAGTAAATTATCAATAAAATTTAACACATGGTGCTTATTTCTCATAGTCAAAATATATTTATTTTATATAAACATAGTAATTTTTTAGAAAATATATGTTAGGTATAGGAAAAATCATTTATTTTCTAGTGGAATTCAAATCGAGAAGATATCCTAATAGTCTTGATATCTCGATACTTTAAGATTTTTCGTAGATTTAGGAGAAGCTATCGTATTGATCTTAGGTTTTTTTATCTATAAATAGAAGAAAAATATTCATAATTGAGGCATGCTATTCTTTTCTACACCTCACATAAAACTTCAATTATAACTTAAGCATCAGARCTTTTATTTTGCCAGTTTCGTTGATCTCTTCTATTGTAGAAGATTGATGAAAATTTGATAACGTTAATAATCCAAATTTCTGAACGATATATAAATATTTATAAAAGTGAGATTTTCTTTAATTTCATATTTTACCACGGACAAAGAACAAGATTGTGTCAAACTTTTAATTTCTTTCCTTTTTGTTGGATAAACATAAACATAAAGCTGCAACCTTTTTAGACAGGAGGAAAAGAAAAAAAAAACACAGAAGTCTACTCTTATCCACACAATATTTCAATGAAAAGTACAGACAAAATAAAGATGGGATTTTCTTGGACATCTTCAAATGTTTATTAGGAATTTTTGAGGTCAGAGAATCATATTTTTATTTTCTTAAGACAAGACCAAGAACAAGAACAAGAACATGGATTTCATTTTCTCTCTCTAGGTTTCATAATCTGTCTGACTCTCACAATTAATATAGGAGAAGACAACCACACATGGACCAAACCCATAAACACAACAAAAACCCCTTTTGTCAACTTCACTCTCTCTYCCCATTTTTCTTGTTTTTCAGGCAAACCCACAATTATTCTCTCTCTCTCTAAAACTTTCCTCCAAAAACAGAACAAAAAAGAAAAAAAAAAGTTTCAATTTTTATCATTTCTTGTTCTTGTTGTTCCTCATGAGGAGAAGCATTGCGTCTTGTTACAGTGATCACGCCGTTAAGGTCTCTGATTCCTATTGCTCTGGCCCTTCCCGCCATGGCTATGTCGTTTCCAAGCTTCCTTCTCCAAATTTCCCGCACTCTGTTTCTTCAATTTACAGACCCAAGATTTCGACCAACCAAAAAAATCAGATTTTGATTCTTTTGAGTTGGAGCAGTGACCAAATGGGTCAAGGCTTCACCATTAAAATCAATTCGATTTCTGATCGAATTCTGTGCAGCAGAGGAGTGAAGTCATTCAAATTTTCAGAAAATTCGGAGATTTCGGTTTACTGGGATCTCTCGGAGGCCCGATTCGAGCCCGGACCCGACCCGAGTAGTGGGTTCTACGTGGCGGTGACGGTGGATTCGGAAATCGGGTTGCTGATCGGCGACGAGAGGGAGAAATTGGAGAAATTGGGGGTTTTGAAGCCGAATTGGGAGACCCAGTTGCCGGAGTTCTGTCCGGTTTCCCGGAGCGAGGAGTTTTCTGGCGAGGAATTGGTTTACTCGACGAAGGCGAGATTTTCGGACGGCGGCGGCGTGCACGAGATTCTGGTGAAGTGCGGCGGCGGAGAAGAACAGGGGACGAGGAATCGGACGCTGTTGGTGTTGATTGATAAGAAGAAAGTGTTGGAAGTGAAGAGATTGAGGTGGAATTTTCGCGGGAACCAAACGATCTTTTTGGATGGGTCGGTGGTGGATATGATGTGGGATGTTTATGACTGGCTTTTCAAGGCGGAATCTACGGCGGCGACGGCGGCCGCGGCGGCGTTCATGTTCCGGACGAGGAGTGGATTGGACAGCCGGCTATGGCTGGAGGAGAAAACGAAGCACCAAAGGGATGGATTCTCTCTATTGATTCGAGCTTGTAAGAATCCTGATTGATTCTTTTTTAATTTTTTTTTAAATTTGATTTGATTTTTCTTATTTACTTTTAGTTAAACTACCCATTGGGTTTCAATTTGATCCAAAGATTTTAATTGAGTCTCTTGTTTTTTGGTTTTTTTTCAATTTGATTCTTATGGTTTTAAAATTTGATCTTTAATTTCAAAGATGGTCCGTAAATCTTTTTTTACTAAATCGTAAACATAATATAGTTATTAGTCAATAAAAAACATCTCATGTAAATAGAATATGTATTGAGATAAAGGATAAGGATAAATTTTTTTAATTTTTTAGTACGACATGTCGGATGATAAGGATAAATTTGATCCAACTATGAGAACTAAATTGAAACTTTTAAAATTACAAGGAATAAATTGAAGTTAAAAGAAAGAAAAACTAAGGTGAAGTTGCGAGGATCCAATTGAAAATTGAAAATAGCAGAGAAACAATTTAGAATAATCTCAAACCAAATCAACCCAATGGGTAATTTAATTTTTTTTAATCTTTTTATATTTGAGTAATTTATTTAATTTTCTCTCTATGTAGTTACTTGAAACGAGAAGGATTCTTTAGGAACCTTTTTTTCTCCACTCAAGAGGGAAATGTGTAATGTGCTTTTCTTTATACATGAGATGCTGATTTCATGTAGGGTAAAGTTTGGAGATTCCTAATGAAAATTGTAAATATTAAGGGAGATAGTATGCTTTTTTTTTCCTTGTTCGACCGCTGTACGAGTTGAGATTCAAATYTTCTACTTTTTTTATTGAAAAAATATATCTTTACGAATTCAAAAATATTCAGATTGGTGAGATCAAATTAGATGAGTTTGGAGAAGATTTAGGGATGTCGTTTTATAATGGGTCAAGATTAGGGGATGTCGTTTTATTTTGTCTTCGTCTTCGATCCCACAAAAATTTCAACTTGCTAGTTTTATTTTTTATCGCCGATCCTTATAGTGTAGGGAGGGTTATTTGATTTTGTAAAGATATTCTATTTTATGAGTAAAAGTATGAAGGTSGAATCTTTTATTTTTATAAAGATATATTTAGTAAGTTGGATTAATACATAATACACTAAGGTTATAAATACTTTAATACTAATTAAACATTTAAGGGCAAGTGAATGTTGGATGATAAAAGTATTAACATTTAATATGAGATGATACTAATATCATAATAGTTTAATGATAATTCGTTTAAGAAAAAAAAAGGAATAATTAAAAGAGATAAAAGAGAAATCTTTAATTTTATTTGATATTACGCAAMTAAATATTTTCTTTCATTAAAGCTGCATTAAAAACTCTATTAAAACCTTTTGAAAACGATTTTTTTTTCTTTATTAGGACGTTTCATACAGTACAATTATGGGGAAAAAAAGAGCACTATTTTAAAATAATAATAATTTTACTAAATTTCTTAAATTTGTTTTCAAAGAGCAAAATTTGAATGGGATTTGGGAAGGCTTTCAAATTGGGCTTTTTGATCTGGACTTATGTGGGCTTTTGGCCCACTTCTTGATTCTCAAAGGTTTCATGAATCCCAGATTGCACCTCCTTCTGTCAAAAAAAGCTTGTAAAATAAAACTTTTTTTTGGCAAGGCTTAAATAACACATTTTCCGATCCACTCTCACCTCACCTGTTTYAAAGAAGCTAATATGAGTTTAACTCAACGATAATTGATATTAGTCTCTAACCAAGAGGTCGTGTTCCCGATAACTACTAAATACAAATTTGAAAGAATATTATGGTTTCTCTCACATATATTCAACGGTGTAAAACTACCCGCTACATTATGATGGTTTCTCCAATAATTTATTTCTTTGAAAGAGTTTAAAAAKTTTTTAGGACAATATTTTTAAGTAAATTTTTTTTCCACAAGTACTTTTAGAAAAAGCACATCACATATTTTCTAAATCACCTTGACCATGTAACCAAACCTTATTGTAGAAAAGTTATTTAAATCTATTAGGAAATACTTTTCATCATTTAAAATTTCAAAAGTCATATCAAATTTTTATTAAAAAAATAAAAAGGTGATATTAAATCATGGTTTTAAATATCTATCGACACAATTCATGTTTTCATGACATCGACAAATCGACATTTTCATCACATTACAAGAAAATTGACAAAATAAGAAAAATAGCAACAAAATGTCACTAATATATACATAATATTAATATTAATTATTTTTAACTAATTTAGAAATATTAAAATGTTTATTTGTCAATTTAAATATTTTTATGATTTTTTAAAATTTTTTCTAACTTTTACAGAAATATCCGTCGATATCGACATTTTATCGATATTTCTATCGATATTTCTATAAAATTGACATCGCGACATTTCCATCGATATCAACATTTAAAACTTTGTATTAAATTCACCGACATGAAATTAAAAGAATTCTATTGTTTTCTTACAATTTAAATGTATATATTTAACATAGAAAAAAGCATTCCACTTTTTTTTAGTACCTTTTAATCTTTGTTTACAATAAGCAAAATAAACATCTTTAAATATGGATTTGACAGACAGAGATTTTATATAATTAATGTTAGCATAAAGTTTTCTTTAGAATAAGGWAAAAGCACAATAAAAATTCCTTATACAGAAAAATGTTTACATATATGACCAACTTTAATTCAAAAGTAAATATTATTAACTTTAAACTATATGGCATGTTAATTATTGTTTTTATTTAATTTTCATTACTTCATAACCACTTTTGAATTATGTCCTCCTCTTTTAAGATTTCAATATAATCTTTAGTTATTTTGTAGCAATTTTTTTGTTAATTAATTAATTACTTTCTAGGTATGACTATGGGTTCATATTTGGAATATAATATAAAAGATATATTTCTCAACCATTTGTSAACCTAAGAAAGACTAATTTGACAATATAATACAAATTACAAAAACGAAGGCAGATTGACAGTTCATGCTAACTCTGAGAATAACTCAACAAGTTAAGACACCTATATCCAACCATAAAGTTGTTTGTTCGAATCTCCTAAAGCTCACATGTTGTATTTAAATAAAAAAAATTTGATAGTTCGTATATTATAAATTTATTTTACATGATAGATCGATAATGGTTAGGCAAAATATTGTATTAAAACAAACAATATCAAAATTAATAAAATCGTCATATAAGTTTCAAGCCAAAATCAAGGCTGACTACTTTACATAAAGTTATATTTTCATTTAATTCCATCCACCAATAATCTTTAAATTATAAAATTATATTAGAAAAAAGGTTTTTGCCAAGACTTGAAATGTCCACTGATAACAAAGCATATAGTTCCCTCAACCACTTATTTACTTTATAGAAAAAGAGAATATATTAATTAAATATCTCAAAATAGAATATGGTGCAAAAACCCAAGTTGAAGCATGACATAAAAAAGATTCTTAATTATTGAAATAGTATAAGGCATATAKTTAATGACAGAAAAAGGGCATAATGTTGACATAGTGGTAGGATCGTCCCAACATGCTCAAAGTCACCAATTAATTTAATTAATCTGAGGTGTAAAGAGGATATAATATACAAAAAAAAAATGGTATATATAATGAAGTTAAATTATACCTTATGCTCAATATATTAAATTAATAGTCACATTAAAAAAAATGTCACTTTCTATGCGTTAATTCCTATTTATAGTCAAGTGCAAACATAATGTCAGGGTTAGAGGGTTAGAGTTGGAAGATGGATATATTCTTTTCTAAAAAAAGAAAGAATTAAAAGAATAAATAAAAGAAGAGTTTGGCTAATAAATAAAAAAAATTAATTAGCACGACTTTATTATTATTTTTTTTAGTACAATCAGCGGGTAGGAGGATTTGAACTACCATTTGATTATAAAGACCGGTACCAATGACCTGACGCGCGAATTTTTCTTTTATAATTAAGTAGGATGAATGAGATATTTAACGTTAAGAAACTTTGAGCTCATATAAAATTATGTTTTTCGAATAGCATACCATCATTTCTTCTTCTTATTATTGTTATTTTTTGAGTTCAACAAGGAGCACAAGATTTGAACCTCTGATCTTTTTTTTTAAAATTTTTTTATTGAGAATATATACCTATGTTAACAAGTTGAACTCTTTTCACTCATTAAATTTGATCCAATAATTTGTATTGAGTATTAATATTATATTAATTTAGCCTTGACTTTTGTATAAATTTGGAAACTAAAGGGAAAAAAATAATAGAGAACTAAAATTAATATTTGAGAATGTATTTAAATTATTGCTTGCTATTAGTCTTATATCCTATATCTAACCATTGACTTCAAAACTCCTATACCAACCCTATGATGATCATATGTAGCTATATTTTTCAAATTAATGCCCCTACCTAACATTGTAGCTCAATTGCCATAAAAATTTTCTTCACTTTAGCGGTCTATATAGCGTTTTTTTCTTAAGCTATTTTCAAATCTTTTCGTCTATTTACATTTTACAAAATCTCATTTCCTTCAAACTCCTATGACTTGAGATTAATTTGACTGCACGATGTGAATTTTTTTATTGATGATTTGTGCTTTTAAGTCTGATGGATTGTAAAGCACTCGAGCTTTTGGACTACATAAGACGTGTGTGTGTCATGATATAGGGAAGCATCAATATAGGATGAGTGAATCTAAATACTTTCCTCGAGATGGATTTGCATATATTGGTAATTATGTAGATAAGGGTATGTCGAAGTATATAATAAGTTAGACTAATTAGTTCAACCACAAAAATTATGCAATGACATTTGTCATATGGCTGGGATTTCTATAATAAATTAATCTAGCAACTTTACCAGCTCGTATAGTTAGACCAATTCTATTAGATTATACATGACATTGCAGAGGTTCAAACATAGGACTTCGTAGTCAGATCAATAAACTACCAACCAACACAAAAGTTTAAGGTGATGGATTGAGAAATTTAATTAATATATTGGATATYTAATCATGCCAACCGAACATATATCACATCTCAATACACATGATGATGTACTTCGCTATTCTTTCCTACAAACGAACCATAATCATCACATCTCTCGGAAACTCTTTGAAATTTTGAAGGATGAAGAGTGATAAAATAAAGAGAGAGAAATGAAGTTTTTTCCTTTAAAAAAAGTGAGTTTCCAAAAGCAAACCAAAAGATCAAAACAAGCCAAACCCCCCGTATCTCTCAAACCAACTGTGGCCCCGCGACTCGCCATCTGCCCCCACAGTTTTCTCTCTTCTCTGTTTTCTTCTTTTTTTCTTTTTTTTTTTCAAACTTTTGACCTACCTATTTTTCTATCTTCCCATTTTAACCTTCAAAAGCAAATGAAATATTATTCAGCAATAWCTAAGTAGGAATTCGGATATTTAATTTTTGTTCCAAACTCGTAACCTTTTCAAAATATATGTGTTGAGCTATGCTTACTAGCTTAACTAGATTGTTATTAGCCTTGAGTTAAAYTATTTATAATATTTTATATGGTATGTTATTTTATTAAAATAAGATATATCCAACAACTCTTTAAATTCGTCAATATTAAATTGATCATAATAATATTTTATTATGCTAGCACACCCATTATCAAGTATATCATATATCTATGTAATTTTAGTTCAATTTCTCTATTTTAGTTCCAATACTTTCTTTTATAACAATATAATTTCTATACCTTACCGARTATAACAATCAACATTAAAAATTTCATTATGATTATTTGAGGTATTTTCACAATCGATATAAAAAAGTTACTGTATCTATATTTAATATTTACTTTTTTCTTGTTCCTATATATATAGTCAAATATCSATATTCGATTAAGATTATAAAATATATCAATTTAAGTACTTATTTATATGGTAAAAAGACTAAATATGAAAGTGACAAAAAGCAAGTGTGTACATATATGTATATATATATATCATGATTTTTTTAGGTGGTTTTTTTAGGTGGTTGAGAAGATTTGAACTCACAACTTTATAATTGGAGATAGATATCAATAAGRTTGTTCAGGTTGATATATCGTAATTTTTTTTGGGTTGAACTATACAAAAATGAAAAGTTAATATTAAAATGGAGAGGAAAAAATTACAGTGGATTATAATATTTGATGTTCTGGAATATTCTTGGGATGGTAGGAGGGGCAAAATAGTAAAAATAGGAGTGATCTCCGTGAAAAATCCGTCATTTTTCTTGCGGAAAAAGAAAACGCCAAAACAAGTGGCGACGATCTCTCGGTTCTAGAATCCGCTTAGTATAAACGCAGAGCAGAGCRGCCATAATCTCTCCCATTCACTGTCCTCTGCTTCCATTTCCCTCTCGTTTATCGCCTTCATTCTGCTTCTTCGATCTTCATTTCCATCCAAAAATGTCCGCCTTCAAGAGCAAGTACCACGGTAATCTCCCCCACTTGCTCAATTTCTTCCAATTTCTGCTTCCCCGATTTCCCCTGTTGCAATCGGACTGGAACTTTTGGATTTTCCTTGATCTCTTGTTTGTCTTTCTGTTTTCTCGGTTTGTTTGTTGCTTTAGTTTCTCGGATCTGGGTTATTTGTTCGATTCTATGTTCTTTTGTTTCCAGTAATCGGGTGTGGTACTCTGTTTCATGACTACTATGTTTGTTWCTGCTGAGATCTAGAGTTCTTACTTGTTTAATTTTCCGGGGATTGGACCTGATCGTCCTTTGTTTTGATCCGAACTAGTGACCTATAATAACTCGTAAATTAGGTTTAGTTTGTTTACATTTTAAGTTACAGCCTCCTTGAGTGATTATATGATTTTTTTTTACTTCGTGTTTATTTGCTGTTTCGATATCATTTCATTGTCCTTGGATGTTGGAAATCGCTGGTTTAGATTCCTGAATTGCCCAATTACTGCTCATACTTCATTAACCTGAGTCTTTCTTCGATTTGTTTTAGCCTGGGGCCTAGAATCACTTCCTATTGAATTTGTCACTAAATTGGGATTTTTTGGTTCTCCCTGTTCTTTATATGGAAACTTTCTGGTTGTGGGGACAAAATTAATGGGAATAAATCTTTTGTGTAAAGGGGATTTCTTGTCCTGTGTTATGAAGACGACTCTTTTTTTTTTCCCTTTTTGGGATGGAGTGGACCTACTAGAGGTAGAGGCCAAGAATTTAGCTGTCTTCGATATCTTCTTCTACTCTTTGCCTTTCTTCTTGGAGATTTTCTGGTTTCTTTCTATCTAAAATTTCCACCGATTTCTTTCAGAAGAGTAAAGCTTTCATTTCGTGAAGAAGGAATCTGAAATAATAATTTTCTTTCGTTACCTTTGACCACAAGGAATCTGATATGAAGAAGAAAATCTGAACATGTGGGAACTAATAAATGTAGTTCATAGTCATGGGTTTTGAATATATAGAACATAAATATTCCATTTTTTTTTCCCTATAATGCGTTTACTATATGTGTACATAAAAATATCTTGGCTCTGAAATGTTGAATGATCTTTTAATCGATTCCGATGAATCATCATTCTTCCTGTGAGAACTTCAGACCGTTCTTTTAGTATTTATGATTTATCTCTGCTGTTTGTGTTCTGTGCAGATGAGCTCATTGCCAATGCTGCCTACATTGGTACTCCTGGAAAGGGTATCCTTGCTGCTGATGAGTCAACTGGTACCATTGGCAAACGTCTAGCAAGTATCAATGTCGAGAATGTTGAAACTAACAGGCGTGCTCTTCGTGAACTCCTCTTCCTCACACCCGGTGCTCTTCAATACCTCAGTGGAGTCATCCTGTTTGAAGAGACTCTCTACCAGAGTACTGCTGCAGGTAAACTGTCAAAATAGTAAAATAGGAAGTCTAATTTTAGCTGTGTCGATAGCAAGGTTGAACAATGTAACTTTTAGATTTTCCGATTCACGAAGTGTTTACTCTATCTGATTGTTTTTGCAGGTAAGCCGTTTGTCGATGTTTTAAAGGAAGGCGGTGTGTTGCCTGGCATCAAGGTTGACAAGGGCACTGTAGAACTTGCTGGTACCAATGGTGAGACAACCACCCAGGGTCTTGATGGCCTTGCTCAACGCTGCCAAAAGTATTATGAAGCAGGTGCTCGGTTTGCCAAATGGCGTGCTGTGCTTAAGATCGGTCCGAACGAGCCCTCGCAACTGGCTATCAATGAAAATGCATATGGACTGGCTCGATATGCAGTTATCTGTCAGGAGAACGGTCTTGTTCCCATTGTTGAACCTGAGATTCTGGTTGATGGTCCTCACAGCATTGACAAGTGCGCCGAGGTGACGGAGCGGGTTCTTGCTGCATGCTACAAGGCCCTCAACGATCACCATGTCCTTCTCGAAGGAACTTTGTTGAAGCCCAACATGGTTACCCCTGGATCTGATGCTGCCAAGGTTGCTCCAGAAGTGATCGCTGAGTACACCGTTCGAGCTCTACAACGCACCGTCCCTGCTGCAGTTCCCGCCATTGTCTTCTTGTCAGGTGGGCAGAGCGAGGAGGAGGCAACCCTCAACCTCAATGCCATGAACAAGCTGAAGAGTAAGAAGCCATGGTCATTGTCTTTCTCATTCGGACGCGCCCTTCAGCAGAGTACTCTCAAGGCATGGGCAGGAAGGGAGGAGAACATTGAGAAGGCCCGGGCTGCCTTCCTTACAAGGTGCAAGGTGAACTCGGAGGCGACACTTGGAACATACAAGGGCGAYGCCGAGCTTGCCGAGGGTGCAGCAGTGAGCCTTCATGAAAAGAATTACAAGTACTAAAATGGTTCTTGTGTGCTTTATGTTTTGAAGTAGTAGCTTGTTTTAAGCATAAGGTTRGAACATTTTGAGAAGTGTTGCTGTTCAGCTTTGGATTYTGTTGGGATTGTTGAGTGAGCTGCTGGTTTTTTCCATTTCAGTTGTAAAAGAAAACAAGAAAAAGCAAGGATTTATCTTGTCTTTACATTGAAATTTAGCTTTGTTTTTTCATTTTATTTTTCCAAGAAGAGAAGAAAAGAACTCATATTAGTAAACCAATTTGACTAATTGCTTATAAATGGTTGATCAACTAATATTAGATTATTGTTTAACCTTACTGATAATTAGTAAAATTTGAATGACTTTCCTATAACAAAACATTAATTGACCACAGAAATGGCTATGACTTTCCTATAATAAATCACTAATTGACCTCAAAATTTCCATGATTTTAGAATTCTATATTGGGCCGATCCCATGACACAAGCCCAAATAGATGGCTGAAATTGTTCTATTCCAAAATTCTTACAAATAGAAAAAAAAAGTGACTACTATTTTAACAAGCTGGATTCTGTTGAGATTAAAATATCTTTTTTAGCCCTCTAATTTGATTCTCGAAACAGTTGTATCTCTATATATTTTTGTTAAAAAACCATGTTTTTTTTCTTTCTGAAATTTAGCTAAGAATTAAACTTTTTTTTTAAAGAAGGATGAAAAATATAGTAATAAAATTGTGAGGAAACAAACATAAATTAAAAAAAAAAAAAGAAATCGTTATAAAAAGAGATCTAAATATTACAATCTCAAAACATAAGGACCAGTATGAACACTAAAGTAGTAAAGCAATCACATATAGTAGAAAACAATCAAACTCCTGCCAGTCAACTTTTATTCTAAACTTTCAATTTTATTAAATTAGATTTCATCACMCCCTAACAAATCAATGCTCAAAATCATGCCTACAAAATCAATACACTAGAATAACCATTAAATAAATCTCCAAAAACTCAAYAAAAAAAGAAAAATCMGAATGACAATTAATTTCTTACTCCTTCAATTTTGTAGTCTATTATCATAGACTATTCTAAATAAGAAACCTAACAAAAATTTATAAAATAAGTATTTATTTCATTGTCAAGGAAACGAAAACGGATTTWGAACTTAGAAGATTTTCCCAAGTATAATTGAACCACCAGACTCATTGCAGAGTAAGAAAAACTAGAACAAAACTAGAGATCACAAAGTAAAGTTAGAATTAAAAAAGATAAAGCCGAAGCCAAGAAAGAAGTCCAAAAGGCCAAACAACAGTTGAAACAGGGAAGCCCATGGTTTTGCATTATCAAACATGGATTCAAGAATCTCACTGAGCACTGCACACCTCTGAAAAAGCAGGCAACACAGAGAGAGAAGGGTTTCCAGTTTGAAAGATTTAGAAGAAGCAATTAAACAGAGAGAATTAGGAATAGAAGTGAGTGGAAGTTTGATGAATGGTCCATTAATGGCCAGAAACTCTCGAAGCAGACGACAATGGCAGATACCCAATTTGAGGAAAGAGGAGACCAAACCCTCAGTTTTCAGTTTTCAGTCACATCCTCCCCAAAATCCACAATATCTCTCACTATTAGTTACTATTTACTCACCCTTTAAAAAGCCTGTGTTGCTTTCTTACGTTATCCCCATTCAAACATGATGCAATCCCATCCCATCCAATCCATATATATAATTCTATATATATGCATACTTCTCTCTCTCCCTCTCTCGTTTTTCTTTCACTTTGATTTGATTTGTCTTGGGTCGTGGGTTAGATGTTTCGTTTCGGTCTTCGTATCGAAAAATTTTTCGTTTTGGTTATTCGGTGATTGTGGAAATGCGTTTTTGGATCGTGTTTAGTTGAAATCTCGAACACCTATATAGTGCTGTTTTATTATTGTATTGGGTTGTGTGTTAGAACTTTCGTTTTGGTTTCTATATTGAAAAAGTTTTTGTTTTGATTATTGAGTGATCGTGGAAATGTGTTTTTTGATCGTGTTTAGTTGAAATCTCGAACATCCATATAATGCTGTTTTATTTTAGTCTTTATAAGATGTTTTCTGTTCGTATTTATGTTGAGAGATATTTCGTTTTGATTATTGGGTGATCATGAAAATGTGTTTTTTGATTGCGATGAGTTGGGAAGTTTCAAACACCCGTATAATTAACGTTGTTCAACTTTGGTCAGATGCCTTGTTTTGGTATTTATATTGAGTTGGGTGATTAATTGTGAAAATATGTTTAGCTATTATTGTTGATTAATTTATTTAATTTAGTATTTTTAACACTATRATATGTTCTGAAATTTGTTGGAAAAAACTGTTGGTAGCTCTATTGGAAGTAAGATTCATTGGAACTATTTTTTTCAAAGAGACAACTCTTTGTCTATCTCTGCCACTTTCAAAGGACATTTTTTCATTTAAGGGAAGCTGAGGATTGTACAAGCCAAAAGGAGGGTTGAGCTCACCCATGTATTTATTTCTATTTTATGACACCCTCAAAAAAAAAAAAAATCAAACATCCTGAACAAATGATTCACGGTCGTTTGTAAACGTTTACATCACCGTTTGCATCTTCCGATCCTTCTCAACTAAAGGATGTTTGACTCACGGGGTGTAGTAAGATTGGATTTGTGTCACATCTAAGGTTGAAATATGTTTACGTACAGCCGTAATAGAAGTTGTTTAAGTAAATTATTCGCATTTGAGAAAGACGTAGGCTTAGAAGTTCGCAACTCTAGACCATACAAATTCAACCCACGAGTCAAATGTCTCAGGATAAACTTTAGAGAATATTAGAACGTCACAAAATTGATTCAATCATTACAAAAGAAAATACTAATTAATATATATATATATGAACCGGAAGTTAAAAAGTTCAAGTTTGTTAACCAAAAATGATAAATTTAATCTACAAAAATTGAATTAATGTCAGGTTTAATTACTTGTATAGGTAAAGCTCTTGCATTAACTTTAATTAATTATAAACTCGATATAATTTAGTTTTATTTTCTTAGGGTATGTAATAATGAAAAAAGCCACTTGTAGGGAACAGTTACATTATTTGTCCTCTCAAAGATAGAAAATTTGTAATAAATTTAAAAAGCACATGCAAATAGCAGCAAAAATTGACCATGCAGACATATAATTATAAATGACCTTTTAGATAATTATTTGCAGCCGAAAAGAATTAATAAAAAATCCAACTAAAATAGTTAAATTTTTAATTTTCTTAGAAAAAGGTATAAACAAGGAAAGGAAAATTAAATTTTGAAAAAAGAAATTCCCAAGTTAAATTTGAATTAGTTAGACATTGTCGGTTGAGTCATCGTTAAATCGATTTATTTTCTATTGAAATATAATTTTTTACTAAACAGTTAATTTTCAATTGTCACGAGTGGATTATATGTCTTTTCAACACATTGCAGTGAAAGTATATAACTTTGAAAATTAACCTTTTGTAACCCATCATTAAGGGTGTTTAGAGCAAAGCCGATAAATATTAATCAAATATTTATTTAATGAAATTGATGCCAAAAAAATAAAAAAAAAACTTTTAGAGAAAATGAAAGCGAATCATAGTCTATAAAAGTAAATAATGATATGAAAATTAACATAAAAATAACTACATGATTGAAACAAATTAGTAAACAAATAGAAATGTAAATATATGATCCACAAATCAAGAACTATGGAACATGTGATTAGGGGATCTAAACAAGGAGAAAAATACAACAATATTTGATTTAATTTGCAATAATATTAATAATTCTCGGCCCTCTTCACCAATTAAACACATTAATTTGGATGAAGAAATCCCATTAATTAAATATATATATATATATATATTAAATAATTAGCTAAATGACCCCTCAAAAACCAACCAACTTACTAAGCTAACCCTAGACAAAGTGAATAATCTCCCTCTCTCTTAGTTAGCCAAATCTTCCAAGTTTTGCAGAAAGGTCCTCATTAATTAGCTTAATTAAGTTTGATCACCTCCATTGTTGAGTTTGAGCCCAAAATTTTCCCACAAGCCAGACTGAGATTGATCTCCCTCCCCCATCAAGAAACGAAAGCAGCTATCTTGCACCACATGGCCGCTGCCGCCACCGCCCGCGTTGGAACTATTCGGACTTTGCTCTTTCATTTCACTGCCGTAGGCACCGCTGCCGCCTCCGCCGCCGTAGAGGGAGGAGTCATTTTGGAAGTAAAGGTTGTAGGTTGTGGTGGTGGTGGCTGATCTTGAAGTCTCCTTTCGTTTCTTGTTGCCTTGATCTATTATTTTTCTCTGGTAATTGTTGTCTTGTAATTCTCTAGCTGTGCTGTTGTTTAGTATTTCGCTCCCGTCTTCGTTTTGGTTCTCGCTGTTATTTTGACGGTGCTCGACTGCCATTAATCGGTGGTCGGGCGAGGAGTTGTTGTCGTACTCTCCTATTTCTCGTCCTGTTAGCTTTTGTAATGCCTCCATTAATGCTGCATCTCTAGCTTCTATCCATGCTCTCTCCTTTGCCCAAAAGCTCCTCTCGCGATCGATTCGAGATACTTCTTGTCTCCTCCATTCCTCCTCCCGAATCTAAAATACAAATCATGTAAACTCGAATAAATAACTGAAATTATTACGATTTTACGATACTCAAAAGGTGCATTTTCGTCATTCAGAATAGCTGACATGATATGAATATTACTCTTGTAATTATGGTTAGATATATATACGACAGTGTTTGTTCTTATAAATGAAAATGTGCATTTTCGTTGTTTTAGAATAACTGACATGATGTGAATAAAATATCAGTCTCGTAACGATCAACGAGTTTGTTCTTATAAATGAAAATTTGAATAACTGATATGATGTGAATAAAATGTCACTCTTATAACAGTTAGATATACCAACGAGTTTGTTCTTATAAACGAAAATTCAAATTCAAAACCCAAAAGAAGGGACGAGAGGAATACCATTCTCTCTTTCTCCTTTTGTTCAAGAGTTTTCATGAGCTTCTCCAACCAAGCCTCTTGCTTGTCAATCAGCTTCCTCATTTGCGAGTCGATGAATTGCTTGATCTTCGCCTTCCAACATTTCCYGCCTCGTCGCTTCCTCCGCTTCTCCACAGAATCGTTGTCCATTACGCCGATGGAGCCAAGTTCATCGGACGAGGCCGAGGTTTCGAACTCCGACGTGTTCGAGAGGCTGAGGCTGTGAGGAGCCTCGTGGCTCATCGGAGCGGTGGCGATCGGGTTGTTGGTCGTCCCATTTTGCTGGAATCTGAGGTTGTTGTCTCCGAGGAAATGGGAGTCTGGAAGTGAAGTGGCATTGCTGGTTTCGCCATAGAGAGCTTCCAGCTGCCGGAAGAATCTGTAGTTCTTACCGTCTTGTCTTCCAGCTTTCCCTTCCTTGGTCTTTTTGTAATATTTATACAAGTTCTCGAATTTTTCTCTGCATTTTTTCCCACTTCTTTGATAATTGTGTTCCTCAGCCATGATCCTAAAACGAAAATATAGCAAGTTTTATTCATTTGTATGGACATAGAGAGAGAGAGAGAAAAATTCAGAATAGTTCAGAAAARAAGAAACAATTTTTATGGAAAACCCTAGATTTAGAAATGCAATTGAAGAAAAGAAACTGAAAATAACAAGCAAAAATGAGAGAATTGTGCTTAAAATTGCTACAAATTCATCTTTGTTGCTTAAAATTGTGCATTAAATTAACCAACAAGATGAAAATTTGGATTAATTTTGAGAGTTTGGGCATTTGGGTGTTTTTTTTTCCTTCTTTCTGGGGGGTGTTACTTTAAAAAATACCAGAGTTCTTGGGCATTAAGAGGGTTGGTTGTGTTCTTATAACAATACAGCAAGAAAACTTGCAGACACAAGAAAAAATTTGAAATAATAATAATAAAAAAAAAAAGAGAGAGTACAAAATTTGAAATTTTTTGGACTCAAAAAATTAAAGACAGTCCCAATTCTTCTCTCTCTATCACACTCTCTCTCTTCGTTCTGGAAAGTGGATTCTAAGACAAACATTAAGAAAGCAAACAAACCACAGCTGAATTCATGTAGACTGTGTGGTCATTTTCAAAATTCAAACCAAAGAAAAAACCCAAACCAAAAAATCAAAAAAAAAAAAAAAGAAAACCCCATAAAATTAGGATAAAGAACACACACAACACAAGCTCACAATCCCAGAAGTAGTGTAAAAATTTCAAGTTATGGAGTTTTAATCAACAATTCTAAAAAAAAAAAAAGAAAATTGAATTTAAATTAAGTTAATTAATTACCTAGAAACTTCATCCCAAAGGGGGCCTTTTTGATTGGCCTCTTTGAACTTAGAATCAAGGCGAGATCTGATCTCCAAAAGCGTAAGAGTTTCCTGGCGCGGCCATCTCCCGGTGCCGCTGTCTCCGGCGAGGCACCCGGTTTCCCCTTCGAACCCGGCGGCGGTGGCGGAGGCGGAATGATCAGAGCGGAAGTCGGGGAGAGGGTCACGTGGCATCATCATGATGAGGTCGTAGGGGTTGGAGTTGGGGTGAAGATTCCGGTAGGCTGCGGCGGCGGCGGAGAGGTCATGGTGGCCGGGGAAATGGGAGCGAGCTGGGGGGGCGGTCATGAGGTGGCGGAGATCGGAGAGCCCATATTGATCCTCCATGTCCATATGGGAGAGGGAATTAAAAAGAGAAATTAAAAAGAAAAAAAGAAAAAAGAAAAAAATGGGATCGAGAGGGGGAGAAAATAGGATTAAAAAAAAAAGGAAGAGAGAGAGAGAGGAAAAAGAAGAGAGTAGCGGCAGGGTCGGATCGTGTCGTCCACGAAAAAGCTAGAATTTACGCAGTGGAGTCAGGATGATGGTCCCATGTCTTATGTCAAACAACTCTGTATGTTCTCTTCTCTCTCTGCCCTCTAAAACACTACTACTACTTCTACTATTATACTATTACTCTCTTTTTTCTCTCTCTTCCTTTTCATTTTTAGGGTTTGTTATGTATTTATGGCTATGTGTTTTGAGTTTCGAGTGTCTATTTTGGTCTTTGAACTTGCGGGTTTGGGTTGAGCATGCCAATTGATTGTGCTTGGTTTGCGTGGGCTGGTCGAGCTTGGGGTTTGGTTTGTTGGATAAATTCGTGGGCTCTTCGATCGTACTCTCCCCAGACCCACGCCTAATTTGCATACTTTCTTTTAGTTCTGACTTAGACATAGTTCTGGGCAAAGGGTCGTCGTCCAACTCCAAAAGAAAAGAAAATGTGGTGCTTAATTCCACTTGTAAACTCAAAAAAGCTATTGATTACTTCAATTTGGTTCATGCAGTCCTTGTGTGCCCAGAGGATCGGATGAGCGAGTTTGATTATATTTGAGAGTTTATTGATTGGATATAGATTTGAACAAAAGATTYTTAAACACTTGGTGCATTTTGTKTAGAGTTAAAGATGTTGAAATTTCACCATGAATACCACCATGTGCTTGGGACCTTAAGGTATCACCTATTTTGAAGTCTCAAGTTTGAGTCCTACACAAGTCGTAGTGTTGCTCAACCGTCCTACACTGGTCATAGTGTTGTTCAATCCGAGCAACAGAGACTCGAATTATAGGATCCACYAACTAAGTCACACGACATCAATTCTAGAAAATAATTTTTTTTGGATGATGTGTCATGGTTTGACAATTATTTGGACTAATTACAAATAAAGGAATGGATAGAGATATATAATTAAGGATTGGATTATTATATTTTTGTGATATATTTTCTTAGGATAAATTATATTTTCGTACAATTTATCTACTAAGTTTGTTTTGAGATCACACCACCTTGCATTCTAGATTTTAAGGCTACTGAATTTGTCCAATTAATGTATGTTAAATGGTCAAGACTAAAGTAGTCTTAATTAGCCAAATTAAATATGAATCCAACAGTTTAAAGTATTAAGTAGCTTTTCTGATAGTTTAAAAGCTCAAATTATCCCATCCTACACATATAATGCCATATTTAAAAGAAGGAAAAAAAAAAACCTTAATTATGAGTACAGTGATGTTTTTGTTTTTAATTTTATTTTTTCTGAAAATAGTACGAGAAAATATTAAAACAACCAAATAATGTAAATGATATTTTTTAAACGAGGAGTTCAATTATAGGATAGGAGGCGGTCAATTATGCCAATCATCTCTTATAATTTTTATGGTGGACATATCACGTCATTAATTTTATAAATAAAATATAATTCAATTTCATACTATAAATTAGTAAAAAAAAAACATGATACATAAATCATAAAAAAAATTATACTATCTTTTTTTTTTCTATTTAACACAAACTAAATGACATGTTGTATTTTTGGTTTTTTAAAAAATTAAAATTGATATATATGTACTAAAAAAGAGGTAGTTAGACMTATAACAATTTGACTCAAAATATGAGATAGATTTATTACTAATAAACACGTCTATCAATCTATCACATATTAACAGTACTCGTATCGATGTGTGACGTCCGAGTAGAGAGAAGGAGTATATAAATGAACCAATACCACGTTCGAATGAGAGGGATCCTGAGACCATGAAATCATGATTAAGAAAAKGCTTAAAATAATTGATAATTACTAGACAAGGTGCAACTTTCTTTTCGGTTACTCACATGCTTTACTAGGAAGCATGTGAGTAATGATAAAGAGAATGACGAATGATTAGGCTCAAATCAAATTAATTATTTGTCCTCCATTACAATTCTCCTATTAAAAACGTTGTGTTCGGGTCAATTTCAATTTTCTTTACGACTCATTTTTCAAAAATCATTTAGCAAAAATTTGGTGGGAGACGTGCATCTTTTGTTCATCTTGCATTATGGGTAAATATTTACCTATGCATAGGTTAGATACGAGCTATACAATTCAAACTTCCTTCAACGATGACTTCTTAAAATTTTTAATTTTTTTTTGTTAAATTCTTTTATGAGAATTTAACATTAAGATCAGGTGACCTATAGAGTAGGTTATTAATATTTTAGTTATTGAGCTATGATAGAGTAAATTTATTTTAGAGGTTAAGGGGTGTTTGGACGCAGAGAGAAGAGAGAAATTTGGGAGGAATAAGGAAAAATAGAAGTTGTGTGTTAAAAAAAAGAAAAAAAAGTTTTGGAGGGGTAATACTGGTATTTGGCAGAGAGCACGACACCAAACGACAAGTCGAGTAAAGACGAGGTGGGGTGTGGGTGTGGGCTTCCTGTTGCTGACGTGTACAGTGCTTAGGATTCTGACTTTTGACCTGTCGCATTCCCTCGAGCTAAAAAATTACGCGCTCTCTCACTCGCCACGTCATCACCCAACACGACGTCGCTTCACCCACTTTCTCTTCCACCAATCACAAACCCAGTCAAACCTGGTCAATTGGAATAGTCAACCAACCCACCTCTCATCAAAAGTGGTCATAAATTTGCCTTTTTAGTGCCTTTATTTTATTTTATTTTTAAAAAAATATTTTTTTTCTTTCTATTTCAAAATCAACTCTTGCCTTTTTTTTTTTTTTTTATTCTCTTATTCGAACTCATGATATTTGAAGATACCTTATTCAATTGAATTATGCTCAAGTTGACATGACTTATTATCTGTTTGATAGCGACTTTAGTTTCTAAAAGGGATTTAAGATATTCTTATCATTTAATTTTTCACGTTTTTTTGATACCACGTGAGATTTTTATTTTTATTTTTATTATTTTTTTGATACCACATGAGATTTTTATTAAATACGTTTTTTTAATTGAAAAAAATTAGGGTCTTTCCTTTATATTATTTATTCACCTTGACTAAGATTCAACCACTTCAAACACTTTTTCATTACAAGTTTTGTATTACTTTTAAAAATTGCGATAAATGATTAGTAAACGTTCTTGTGCGGTTGGAGATTATTATTCATGAATTTTGATTTTGAAAAGAAATGTTTCGAAAATTGGAAGTATCAACAATTTGTGTTGCAAACCTGAGTTTAGTTTAGTGGTAATTGATACCAGTCTCTGAACAAAAGGTCTTGAGTTCGAATCTCCTCACTCCACTTGTTGTACTAAAAAAATTTGTGTTCCTAAAACATGGGAATTGGAAAATTGGTAGAGGTCAAGCTTCTAGGTAGCTAGCTAGGGTTATAAAAGCTTATAAACCCAATTATTCTGTGCTTAAATTTATAGGTACTATGTAATTTTAAAGTTCGTAACATGCATGTATATAACACCAATAATTCAATCATTAAATTCTTCCACCGCATTTGTTCATATTTATTTTTCTTGAAGAAGAAGACTCATATATCATGAATGTGGATTTATTCTTATGTCGATTAGAAATAAAGAGGGCCATGAAGCATATGAGTAAGAACAAGAGATCTCTATCGCTATCTTTACAGGAAAACTTTAAGGTAGGATCTACTCCACATATAGAGGGGTTTAAAAATAAAACCACGAGCACAAGGAGGATCCATCATTCTAGAATGCCAAAGAGAGAGAGAAACTTTTACCCCAAAGGGCAGTCAAATGTTTCCCTGTGTCGAAGTCATCGATCAATTCAAAAGTGTGAAATGACCTCTTACTTTGATAATACCATGTTAAATCACCAATCAACCAAAAAGTTTAAGTGGAAGGATTACGATAAATTTAATCATTATTAGTCTGTCGTTGTTAAGGATCCCACACTGAAAAGAAAAGAGACCTTGCAAAGGTTTATAATAGACATGAACAAGCTACTCCTCTCATTGCCAATTAGTTTTGAGATGGAACCCCATGAGTATTGATATAGTATCAGAGCCCAACAAACTCAAACGAGCATCCGGTCCAAAAATGAGATCCGACCAAGATCAATGAGCCAAAAGAGCCACAATCTAAAGGGGGCACGTTAAGCATCCCACATTGAAAAGACAAGAACAAAGCCATATGATATCTCAATTGATACAAGATGTTTCAGGCATAGTCAAAAAGGTAAAACCACGCACTCTCTCTTAAGTCAAAATTAGTAAACCATATCGTACCATTACACGAAACATATGAGGAGGACCCATCCCCGTTCCCGTCCCGTCCCGTCGGAGTTCGATTTCATATTTGGTAAAGGGCAGTGAGGATATGATGTAGGAAATGCAATGGGGAAGACCAATAATTGAAAAGAAGAGAAGTACTATATCTGAGAATAGGGTAAAGGGTTTCAGAGTTTCAGGGGCTGGGATCGGCTGCCTATTGTGTTGGTGTGTGGCAGTACGACTTTGGGCTCAGAATGCAAGTGGAGCCCTGTTTTTTTCTTTCTTTTTTATTTGCATCAATGAATTCAAACCACGCATACCCTGACCCCATGTGATTTTCAAACCCCATTCCACACATCTTCCTATCGACTCTCTGATCACCTTTTGTACTATTTCTATTTCCCTCCCCATTTCTTTAATACCATTTCCCACTGTTTCCGTCCAACACGAGTGCGTGTACGTGTTTGAGCCAGTTTACGTGTTCTTGCCCAGAAAGGAACATCTTCATAACATTGCGTTTAACTCTTGTAGAGCCTCGCAGATCAACTTTTTGAGACATATACCCTCTGGTTGTTCACCTGGACCTGGAAAGATTTTGAATTTTCGGATGGAAAATGTGCATTTGATTGAAGTTTATTGGGTGGGTCGTCATTATTTGGTTTACGATGGCTGATTAGAGATGTGAATATATATGTGTGTGTCAGGGTGTTTGGAACATTTTCTCTTTCGTACTTCGTTTAAAATGAGTGTCTTTTTGACCCATTTACCTACTTTGTGACAAAAACATTTCCAGTTGTCTCTTGACTTATTATTGCAACATTTCGTGTCG